ACATATACAAGTTCATGCCCTAAAATCTATAGCATGTAGCACTGTCCTTACATTGTGTCGGACTTGAAACTTTTCATTGCATGCGTATTCAGCCCACTCCATCCTTGCAAGCTTACTATTTTTGTCTAGAATCTTCTGAATCCTAAGTCCTACGGGTGTTGTCCACGGATCACAAGACTCCCCAAGGACTACAATACTCTTCATCAAATATACCCTTATATCCTCTAGCATGGTCAACATCGGCTTCTCTCTTGCACTCACGATTGTGCTATTAAACTATTCACATAAATTGTTGATAAGCATGTCACATTAATTTCCCTCTAGGAAGTGGGACTTACTCCAATGAGAAGCTGGTTTTTGTTCAAGCCATCCATAAGCAGCCGGGGTCCAAGTCCAACATATGTTGCTTGTGTTGAAGCTACAGTGACACAATAGTGGCTCTGGCTGCATCCCACAAACAATTTTTCAAAGCCAAATCCTTGTAGCTGGCACTAAAATTGTTGTATAGATGTCTAACACACCACCTGTGCTCCGAATCCTCAAATAATGACTTAATTGCGTTAGTCAACCCCTTTTGCTTATCAAAAATGAACGCCTAATGCTGACTGTTGTATATATGCAAATCATCCTTCAAGAGCCCTAAAAATCATATCCAATTATCCACATTCTCAACTTTAACAATTGCATATGCCACCGGATACATACCATTATTACCATCAACACAAACTACAGTTAACAACTACCCACCATGCTCTCTCTTCAAAAAGCAGCCATACCCCAATTACCCTTCTACAACCCCTAATGAAATCATCCCTCAATGCTCCAAGGGAAATATACAGTCGTCTGAATTCTCCAGCATGCCCCCCAACCAACGCAATTGTCTTAATATTTGTCCTTTTCAGCTCCTCACAATAATCCCACAATAGTCTGTAATGCTCCATCACACTTCTTCTAATTTGTTCAAGTGCCTTCTCCTTTGATCTATACACTTGCCAATGTCAGATATCACCCAAACCATACCGCTTAACCCTCTCCATGAATGCACTAACTGACATGTATAGTTTAGCCCTCCAATCAGATAAATACCTCTCTGCCAAATAGGTTGAGGTCACTCTAAAGTTTTTATACACCATAGGGCAAGTATGCTCTTCTATGAATGTTTTGATCACAAAACTAGTCTTACTATACTCCTTGGTAGCATACAACACCCATGGACAATCTCCTTTACACTTGGCTCTCAATCTATGAGCGTAATCCTTTTTTAACTTAATTTCTACGTTACTTCTAATTGAATGTGCGGTTATTGAAGCCTTTAGAATGACCTTTGACTCAAATACCAAGCCTACAAAATGAAAAAAATGAAGGCATATTATATACAACTAACTACAATACAGAATTAGATTTAAATTGAAGTAAAAAATATGTTCCAGTTACCTTTTCTAAACACTGGATCCTCCATATCTGTCACCAAATTAAAAGCATCACCGGAGGCCCCCTTTCTTGAAGTTATATCGCCCTCCTCTTCACTATGAATGCTTCGTAAATCATCAGATTCCCTATAGTCGGTATCCGAATCCCAAGCATGCTGGTCATCTCCTAAACCAAATCCAAAATCAAAATTAACCCTGTCACTCCCAGCTTCAGTAGTAGCTACAGGCTCCTGCTCTATCTCATAATCAGATTTTGCCGAACCTTCGACTTCATCTTCCCTTCTTAGTTCTTCTCTATCATCTTCAACTACAACATCATCCTCTTCCACACTCAAATCACCCACATTTGTATCTTCCTCGTTATGGTATTGTAAGGTTTCCTCGTACTGTGACCACAACCTGTTAGCATTCTCTTCAAAAAATTGATTTGACCAAGTACCTTTAGGCTCCCTTCCTTCATTTTCTGCAACTGAAGGTATGTACAACCGTCAAATGTTTGGTCTTCATCAACTTGTAAGACCAAGGATGCAACAACAATGCATATGATTACATTTGAGCTACGACGTATATTTTCACATTTGGATGTCCATCCCTGTCCCCTAAGTATTCCCTTAATATACTCTTTACTTTCCAATTTCGTCAACCCCCTCCATAAACTCAATTTTTGCTTCTTATAGTAAAACTCGAACACTCTTTCATCACAAGTTCCATGTAAGAATTTAAGCAAATTCTCTCTGGTGCACATTTACCATGAAAGAAGTCGACGAACAAAACGAATCCCCCTTCGTACGCCACATTGTTTGGCTTATCATAAAATCGGCCTCCATTATGTACTTCGACAGTGAAATATTGAGAATTACCACCTGCATGCTATAGTGTAAACTTTAGTGACACTAAAATGGATATTGAATTCATGCAACAGTGAAATACTGGATGTACCATACTCACATTCACACAATTAGGGGTTTGCACAATGAAATTGTATGAATGAACAATGGAATTAGATGAGTTCACACAAAATTAAAGGAATGAACGCATACCATAACTGGGTCGGCGTCGTCAGGGTTTCTCAAAAACGGAAGAAA